CGGGCCGCGCCCATTGGTGGGCCAGGCGCCTGAGCCCCGCGGCCACGTGACAATAACAAGCCTCCGGCCGGGGCCGCTCGCGGGAGAAAGTGGAGCAGAGATTGTAGGAAATTCGGAGTTACATTTTCCAGCCTCTTAGGCCAGAAGTCTCACTACGTCCGGGGAAACATCTATCAAATGGAGTTGAAAGGCAAAAAGGGAGTGAGCAAACAAGTGAGCACAAACTCCGCTGCCTTTCGGAGTTGGAGGGTTTTTTAGGGAAGCTTCAGGGAAGTAAAGTTAAATTGGCTCTTATCCGGAAGGCTTCTAATTCCAAATTAAAGAAATTTATAAATCACCCTAGCGTTCACAGATGAAACAGTGGTTTCAATGCAAGTACAGTTCTTTTGACGTTAATACTAAGGGGTCTTTTCCCTCATACATCGGCTCTAAAATAAAAAACAATGACAGGTAAAAGTCATGGCTTGGGAAGTGGTGTACTAAGTTTTAAAATAGCCAGCTTTCGTGTGGTGAAAAGAGCTGAGAGAGATGGTGACGATGATGACCTTCTAATAAGCTAAAGGGGCAATCATAGATTCCAGGCAAGCACGAAGAACAATAAAATTAATCACAGTAATATTTCAAAGCAATATAAAAACGAGTACCTTGGAGGATAAAATTAACATATGCACCTTGGTCCACCTGGGTGTTGAGTGATGACAGATCTTGTCTGAGAATGCTACCAGTCTGAGAGAACTTGCCTGCCTCTGTGGGGGAGAGGAGGGGTGGATTCAAGCTACAGAACTTCCAGTGAAGTCTGCCTTGACACTTTCTTGCAGGTTATTGGGGCGACTGAAAGTTGAAAGTTAGACCTTGGAGATCATCCCTAATGCCTTCTTCCTTTAGGTAAGGAAATAGACTCAGAGAAAGTAACTTGTTCAAAAACCTGGGAACAGGTATTATGAGCGTTCACTTCTATACATTGTTTATTGCTTTCCATTTGCCCAAGCATGTCTGTCCTTGGACTTCCTTAAATTGCTCCTTACTGAGTAGAAATTGCTTGTGCAGTTCAGACTTTAACCTCAACTCTGACCCATTGATTTTTCCTGTAGTGAATCACTGCATAAACTCTCCCTTTCACTGGGGAGGGAAAAGCACCCTATTTTAGAAATGATATCCCATCATCATCTTTCCAGCTACCATTAGCCTCACATCTACAACTTTTTTAGATAACATAAATAAAAATATATACAGAGACCAGTAGATGGCATAGTGGTTAAGGTGCTGGACTCTCACATGGCCTACCACGGTGGAGTTCCAGACTTGGCAGATTGAAAAAATCACCATCCTCAGGGGAATGGTCGCACCTCAATCCCTTCTCCATATTCCTCTCTGGATTTGGGGCACACACTCACATGTGTGTGGTGTGAGTTTCAAGCCACCAGCTCTGGGTCTTGAACCATGGTGGGTCATGTGGGAGTCCAGCAATGTAACCATTACGCTATCTGCTGGTCCAGTCTGGCATCAGTTTTAAGCCATCATTTCTGGGACTCAGACCTGGGTCAGCCATGCGGGAGTCCAGCGCTTTCGTGTGGTGAAAAGAGCTGAGAGAGATGGTGACGATGATGACCTTCTAATAAGCTAAAGGGGCAATCATAGATTCCAGGCAAGCACGAAGAACAATAAAATTAATCACAGTAATATTTCAAAGCAATATAAAAACGAGTACCTTGGAGGATAAAATTAACATATGCACCTTGGTCCACCTGGGTGTTGAGTGATGACAGATCTTGTCTGAGAATGCTACCAGTCTGAGAGAACTTGCCTGCCTCTGTGGGGGAGAGGAGGGGTGGATTCAAGCTACAGAACTTCCAGTGAAGTCTGCCTTGACACTTTCTTGCAGGTTATTGGGGCGACTGAAAGTTGAAAGTTAGACCTTGGAGATCATCCCTAATGCCTTCTTCCTTTAGGTAAGGAAATAGACTCAGAGAAAGTAACTTGTTCAAAAACCTGGGAACAGGTATTATGAGCGTTCACTTCTATACATTGTTTATTGCTTTCCATTTGCCCAAGCATGTCTGTCCTTGGACTTCCTTAAATTGCTCCTTACTGAGTAGAAATTGCTTGTGCAGTTCAGACTTTAACCTCAACTCTGACCCATTGATTTTTCCTGTAGTGAATCACTGCATAAACTCTCCCTTTCACTGGGGAGGGAAAAGCACCCTATTTTAGAAATGATATCCCATCATCATCTTTCCAGCTACCATTAGCCTCACATCTACAACTTTTTTAGATAACATAAATAAAAATATATACAGAGACCAGTAGATGGCATAGTGGTTAAGGTGCTGGACTCTCACATGGCCTACCACGGTGGAGTTCCAGACTTGGCAGATTGAAAAAATCACCATCCTCAGGGGAATGGTCGCACCTCAATCCCTTCTCCATATTCCTCTCTGGATTTGGGGCACACACTCACATGTGTGTGGTGTGAGTTTCAAGCCACCAGCTCTGGGTCTTGAACCATGGTGGGTCATGTGGGAGTCCAGCAATGTAACCATTACGCTATCTGCTGGTCCAGTCTGGCATCAGTTTTAAGCCATCATTTCTGGGACTCAGACCTGGGTCAGCCATGCGGGAGTCCAGCGCTTTAATCACTATACTATCAGCTGGCCCCTGCACTGGAGTTTTTAAAAAGAAGAAAGATATTATCATATACATGCTGTTATGTAAAAACAAGGTAACATGAGTACTGTGGCTTGCTCTTGAGACATCACCTATATGACAGAGATAATCAGAAATGTGCTACCATTTGGGGGAGGGGACGCTCATTTTCTTTTCCCATTCTATAATCTCCTTATATTACTTCATCTTCTTCCATGAATTCTACCTACATTTGTATGTGGTTATATGGAACATCCATGTTTCCAGCTCACATCTTTCTCCAAAACGCTAGTCCCACATCTCCAACCACTAACAGTCTCAAATTGGTTGTTCAAATATAACATGTTCTGAATTAAGTTCACCATTCCTGAAACTTAATCCTTTTCCTCCTGAGCTCATTATCTGTAAGAATAGGACCTCCTTCCATCTAGGTGATTACCTGGCAGTCACCCTTCTCTTGTTTCATTCTCACCAAACTCAGTCAATTAGCAAGTCCAGTTGAATGCAACTCCTAAGACTATCTTCTCTCTGTGTCCTTCCTTATATACCCTATATAAACCCATACCACCAGTTTTTGTCTGGGTTACTGCCACAGCCTCCTTCCTAACTGGCATTCCAGTCCTTCCTCCACAATGTGGTCAACTGATATCCCTTAAGCTCAAATCTGAGCCTGTGACTCAACTTCTAGTTCCTTTTTCTGGTTCCTATTGTCCTAGAGGTAAAGTTCAGAATCTTCTGAATAACCAATGCAGCTTTCTTTTTGTTTTGGCTTCTCACCTCTTAACTCATTGGATCTCTTCATCTCCCTCCTACTATAGAAATTATTTGTAGTTCTCTTCCCAGCTGTGCTCTTGGTCTTCAGCTTCTTCCCCATGCTGGTTTCTCTGTACAGATCACTCTTTGCCCTTCTTATGCCTGGCCAATTTGCCCTTCAGCTTAGGCATCCCTCCATTGGAGAAGGCTTCCTTGAAGCCTGTGTAACTGTTCCTCCAATGTACTTCCACTGCATTCAATATTCACTGGAATGTAATTGACCATTCTCACTCTAGCTCCTAGGTAATGGTTAGAATTTCCACATAGCATGTATCCTCTATATTTTTGAAAGGTTTTACAGATATACAATACATCACTTAAATTTTCACTACCTCGGTTTCTCAATCTGTAATTCGGGAACCCAATACGAATGTCTCCTGTCTGGCTTCTGTGTTATCAGCTCACTGGATTAGCTGTCTCTCTCCTTTCTCTAATAGCACCTATTGATGGATGCCTGAAATGTTGAGAGTCCTAGGCTCTCTCTAGTCCTTTGCATGCATGCTTCTACCAGTCAGGTGCTGAACTACAGTAGTTCTAGACTAGTTCATGTCTGTAATTACACAGTTAAATATGTGTAAAACAAATAACTATGAGGGCACCAAAAACACACTTCATTTCTATGATAATGAGTTTGAGTCAGAAAAAAGATTCTTTAAGGTAATCACTGAAACCATGCTTTCAA